GAGAGGGTCAAACTGAGGAGCCGCTGCAGGCGTGGGTTTTCGGACCCTCGGCTCTGACTGGCAGGTGCAATGATCCCACATGGTGCCTTTTAATGTAAACTGCATGTTTTAGTTGATTATAGTCTAAATAGAGTTGAAATCCTCAGAAGCAGAGATGGTCTGTGTGATGAGTCAGAGTCTCACGGGTCTCGAGGTCTCACAGGTTTTTGAGAATTTCCCAGTTTGGGATCAATAAGGTTTATAAATCCATCTATCTGTTTCAGACCTCAAACAGGACCAGGTCCATGTTGACAGGTGAGGGGCGAGCTTATTATGGTGGTGGTAGTTTCCTCAGATGTGATTCTGTTTCTTCAGACTCCTGACAGACAGTTTTCTGTAACCAAACAATCATTTAGACATCAACTGTCAAATATTTTGAAGACCGTTCCAGTTATTTATCCGACTATATTTCTGTTCATGTTTTTGCTCTTTAGTGTTTTTACAAACTTTTTTTGTCGTTTTATTCAACAGAAAAAGATAAAATATTTACATTTATGTTTGGAGATGATGCAGTTTGTTTAAATTTACCCCAATTTCCAGTTCATTTCCATAAATTCCCATGAAAAGTTTCTGGAAATTTACCAGAAATTTTCTGCCCCTTTGTAACCCGAGTCTTTTAGCTTTAAAACATGCCTGACGGTGTTCCACAGAGCTCCATTCTGGGTCCTCTAATATTCATAATTCATATAACACCGTTACCATGCTAAAGTAAACCAGGATTCCAAAGACACTTTAACTCCACCTTTTTACCAGTCTACAGACCAGCCTAAAGTTCGTTTTGGTGCACCTCCATCTCTGAGTTTCATAACGTCTCTTTGAGGACATAAAACCTCCATGTTGATCCAGAACATGGTGGTGTGCACAGATGTGTGTGTGTGAGTTTCTCTGACACTGATCCTGCTTCCCTCCAGCTGAGGTTTCATCATCGAACCTGCTGATGGATCAGTGAGACTCAGACGAGCGGCTGTGAGGAAAAAACCTCAGAGGAAACTTCCAGCTGGACTTCAAAGAGGTGCTAATCTGAGTGGGATTATCCCGCGTCTGATTGGCTGAAGGCTGGATCAGATGAGTCTGATCTACAGCGAGTTTAACACACACACACGCACTGAGCTGACTGAGGAAGGAGAGGAGAGGAGAGGAGAGGTTTCCTGAGCTCTTTGTAAACTAATAGATGATCAATCAGAGCCGATCACTCTGAGGAGGGACAGTCAGAGTCCACATCCCTGCAGTCAACATGTCCAAACACCTGCACCTGTCTGAAGAACCAACACAACAGGCCCGGTTCTGATTCACTTCAGCCGGGCCTGAAGCTGAAATCAGGGAACATCTGGAGAAAACGTGGAGAGAGATGTGAGGAGAAGCTCGCTGGTTAAACAAACCTTCACTGTAGCTGTGAGAAAAATCTCAGACAGGCTTCAAACAAACAAACAGCCTCAACAGCAGCCAGTAAATCTGCCTGTTTGTGAAGTCAGAACCAGAACCAGGACACGGACTAGAGAAATATACAAACGACAAACCCAGAAACTGATGCTGCAGCAGTTTACCGATCAGAGTAACTCCAATCTCCACCTTCATCCTGATCGTCTCCTAAAAGGTCGTATCCTCCGATCGTAGCTGATCGTAACCGTTCAAGTTAACGTGTCGATTTACACCGACTTCTTTCCGTTCCTCTGCTTGGGAGTCCCAAGTAAGTCCAGTTGTCCTTTCAGTGAAGGACTGGAAATCATAGATCCTGCATCCTCAGTTTTAATCAACATCTCAGGGTTTAACCCCAATCTCCACCTCGTCCTGATCGTCTACTAAAAGGTCAAGATGGCTACATCTACCAAATTTTAATGCTTGCCTTATATTCGGACAAGGCAAGCGCTAAAATAACTTTCGTTTATGTCGCCATCTTGTCTCTAACTTCTATTTTGTTATTTACTGAGTTGGTAACTGAAACGTCGGGCACAGACACAAAATAAAACATCTGTCGGAGACGAACAAGTGAAAGGTTTTTAGACGTCATTTCACCCCGATGACACCATGGATGAGGAGATGCTGATTCTAGAAGTCTAGAAGTAGATTTCCTCCTCTGGAAGGACAGAATCTACTGCTTATATGTCTATGTGTCTGTCTTTATAGAGATGACTCATTATCGAGCGATTGAACGTGGTTCTTTTGAGTTCTCGTGATTCCTTCTGTCCATAATCTGCCACAAAACTGCATCACAAACGGATCCGGTAGGAATTGCCGTTCCGGATGCGACGGAAATCCCGGGTAACTGCTACTGAAACCGTCTGACCTAAAGGTCGGCGATTGGACTCTCGGTGTTTACAGAGATCATAGACAGAGACGATGACCACGCGACCACGGCTCTAAAACTCTATTTATTTATTTTTTTAAGGTCGGGTTTTAGTCTCTGAGTCCTCGCTGACGTCTCTGCTACACTGGTGGACATTTTCACTTCCCCCCACACGGCCGATTCGTGCAGACACCCTCTCTCTCTCTCTCTCTCTGGTTGTGTTTCTGCAGGCTCTTTGTCACTTCTCCTCTTTTTATCCGCACTGTTGTGTAAAGCAGCTCATTGTTCTCACTTCTCCTGCGTTGTGTTAAAGACAGCAGCCCACAGTGTGTCTGAATGTTCCTGCTGCTGCGGTTCAGAGCTCACACTACAGCGGATATTTTAGGAAACACTAGACTGCAAGACCAACGCCGCCTGAGCGCAGAGAGGAGGATGGAGTCAGCGCTCAGGCGGAGGATGGAAACCATCAGAGTGTTTGTGTGAAAGTGTGAATCTTTAAAACCAATTTAACGTGTAAAGATGCTTCATGTGTTATCAACAACATAAAGGTGTAAGAGCGCCGTTTCTGCTCCAATCACAGGGCCCCAAACCGGGCTGCAGACCGATCCGTTTTTCTGGAAACAAAGAGGGAAATAAACGAACTCTAAGGTCAACCCTGCGCCTTCAGATCCACCTTTCACCGCCGCCGTTCGCCTCCTCTCACCTCCTTCAGTTACATCTGTTTTCAGGATTTCGCATGTTTAGTTTGTGAGTTTAAAACCGCTCTGACGTTTATTTTTAGCTCTTTTGTTTCAGATTTTCTTTGTTTCATTCTGTCCTGACATTTACTCTCAGTCTGTTTCTCAGAGATTATCAAACCTGACGTGACAAAAGCAGAAACTGTCAGACGGAGAAAATATAAATGTGACTTAACGGTGGAAACGTCCTCAGAGTCAGCACCAGAACTTCAGAGCCGGATAAACGAAGGTTCAGGATCTGTTCATCGATGGTTTCCTGACGTGTCTCAGCCGCACTCATGATGATCGACCACCGTGAGGTGAACGAGCACACCTGATTGGACGGTTGTATGAAGGTTGAGTCTGGATAAACAGAATTTTATTTCGCTTTTTAACGTCCGTCTGACGGCCTCACGGAGCGAGTGGATTTTACAGAAAGTCGGTTTTAACGTTAGCATGAAGGAAAATGACGCTGAAACCAGCTTGTACCAAAGATGGTTCTGGAATTTTTTAACCCCGTCCCTGATCAGTCAGAGGGGGGGCGCCTGACCCCCGACCTCCACCTTCATCCTGATCGTCTCCTAAAAGGTCGTATCCTCCGATCGTAGCTGATCGTAACCATTCAAGTTAACGTGTCGATTTACACCGACTTCTTTCCGTTCCTCTGCGGATCGCCGGACTCCTCAGCTGATCACAAGAGTTCTATTTTTTCTGGACGCCGGAGCATGGCGGATAAATTCAGCACAGATTAACCCGTGCTGGAAAGGAAGTCGGGCACAGACACAAAATAAAACATCCGGCTTCTTTTCAAAATAAAACACTCCGTGTTTCAGGAGGATCGTATTTCACACCATGCAAACGGGCGGAGACGAACAAGTGAAAGGTTTTTAGACGTCATTTCACCCCGATGACACCATGGATGAGGAGATGCTGATTCTAGAAGTCTAGAAGTAGATTTCCTCCTCTGGAAGGACACAATCTACTGCTTATATGTCTATGTGTCTGTCTTTAGAGAGACAACTTGTTATTGTGAGATTGAACGTGAATCTGAGGGTTCTTGTGAGTTCTTATGGTGGATTTGTTAACCCCAGCCCATGAGCCAGGTTCTTGACCCCTTAAAAAAACAGCCGGTTCGGACCCTGAGGTCCGTCAAATAAGAAAACTAAACATGGACCTGGTTCTTGTCCTAGTGGGGCTAAGTCTTCGCCTCGTCTTTATTCTGGATTGATAATCCTAACAGTGGGATTAAGATCAGAATATTTTATACAACGGATGTTTTCAGAGAGTAAAGGTGAGTGTGAAGAAGGTTAATCCAAGACTCCTCCCCTAACCACCACCATTAAGGATTTCCTGTTAATGAGCTGCAGGTCTGATTCATCATTTCCAAAGCTCATATGAATATAGCGCCCCCTCCCTGCCAGCTGTTCCCTCCATCTTTAGGTGAATTCTGTTGTTCCTCCTCCTCCTCCTTCAGAAACACAACAGCTCCACCGTCTAAATGTTTCATGACCAACAGAGCGGCAGATGGAGGAGCATCAGGAGGCTGCAGGCGAGCCGAGCCGTCACGACACTGGGAGGAACAAACAAACCGCAAACACAGAACAGAAGAAGAAGAAGTGAGTGAACCGAGCGGTCGGCGAACAGGTCGCACCACCGCCACCGCCACCGCCGCTGCATGTGAGCCCACGCAGGTGTGAGCTGTGGTTTTAATCACTGTGAGCAGAGACAAAGGTGGACTCTGCAGATGTGCATCATTCTGCAGAGAGGACGCCGTGGTCGTCCTGTAAACACGGCGCAGGTTCAAGTCCCCGCAGCGCGCTCAAGAGTGTCCTGAAACCAGGCGCCGAGCCGAGCCGAGCTGAGCTGAGCTGAACCCACTCACTGAGCTGCTCGAATGTAAATGTGGACGTAGGAGGCAGCTGGGGAGGTTTCCAGGATGACATGGTGTGCCTGAAGAGAGCCTCCTCCTCCTCCTCCTCCTCCTCCTCCTCTTCCCCACCAACTCTGAGAGAGCTGTCAGGGAGGAAGAGGAGGAGGAGGAGGAGGAGGGGGAGGCACAGAGCCGACTCCTGTCTGCCAAAAAGCTGCTATAAATAGGAGCATCAGCAGAGAGTGGATGTAGCAGGATGTGAGGAGGAGGAGGAGAATGGAGAGGATGATGAAGAGGAGGAGGAGGAGGAGGAGGAGGAGGAGAATGGAGAGGAAGATGAAGAGGAGGAGGAGGAGGAGGGGCAGAAGGAGGAAGATGAAGAGGAGGAGGAGGAGGAAGAGGAGGAGGATGAGGAGAAGGAAAATGGAGAGGACGAGGAGGAGGATGAAGAGGAAGATGAAGAGGAGGAGGAGGAGGAGGAGGAGAATGGAGAGGAAGATGAAGAGGAGGAGGAGGAAAATGAAGAGGAAGAGGAGGAGGATGAGGAGGAGGAGGAGAAGGAAAATGGAGAGGAAGATGAAGTAGAGGAGAAGGAAAATGGAGAGGAAGAGGAAGAGGAGGAGGATGAAGAGGATGATGAAGAGGAGGAGGAGGAGGAGGATGAGGAGGAGGATGAAGAGGAGGAGGAGGAGGAGGAGGAGGAAGAAGAGGAGGAGGAGGAAAATGGAGAGGAAGATGAAGTAGAGGAGAAGGAAAATGAAGAGGAAGAGGAAGAGGAGGAGGAGGAGGAGGAGGAAAATGAAGAGGATGAAGGGGAGGAAGAAAATGACAAGGAGGAGGAGGAGGAGGAGGATGAAGAAGAGGAGGGTTTCTGGATGATCTAGAAGACAGCAGATGATAAAAACTGGAGGATCAAACCGTCATCTTCTTTATCTTCTCAAATTTGCACAGTCAGCAGTTTCACTGATGATGTCCTCTAAAGTCTGAATACCCCCCCACACACACACACACACACAAAAACCACGAGGCGGTTTTCAGGGGTCTGTATCCAGGGCACAAGTCTGAATCCTCCTTTGGCCACGACTGCCGACACAAGCGAGAAAACAAAGTAAATACCGGAGACTCTGGAGGAATAACGGGCGCTTAAAACGGAGGTAGACCGGACAAGAGCTAAAAAGCCGGGTCAACATAAACCATGGGGGACGCTTGGGGATCTTGGTGACCCTGTAACCTTTCTGCTGGACAGGTAAACCGCTTTAACAAAGTAAGACAAGTGTCTGTAACAGAAGTGTTTCTTGTCAAACGGACCTGCTGTAGCGTGTTGTAGCGCCATCGCTAAACTGTCCTCCCTCGGGTCCTGGACTATGTCACTACCTCAGATCCTGACTACCCCACCTTGAGGGGTTTGATGGTCCTGGTGTCCACATGCAGGCAGGGATTAGACGATGTTAACAGGATCTCCCTCAGCGTGATCGAACACGTTCTCTCCCACTCCTGACTTCAGACTAACGTAACCTGCTGTTTCTACCAGAGTGATTGACAGCTCTGTAAACACTGAGGTTCATGGAGGAGGTGAATAAACACGAGCTGAGGTCTCCACACCAGGAGCTCAGCCTGATCTGAATCCTTCTTAAACCAGACCCTGATGTGAAATCCTTCCATCCTAACTGGACTCCAGCTTCCTGAACACCTCCCCGCTCCACGATTCATAACTTCCGGCACATTCTATCGAGTGTGTGGTAGTGAACGCAGTCGATGCAGCTGATCAATGAGGCTTAATTAAGACTGGTCCTGATCAAACTGTCCGAGTAACAGCGGAGCGCTTCATCTCATCAAACCTTCAGATTCAAGAGCCTCCTAATCCTCCAGATTAACAATAGACACCATTGCACCCTCGCCGCACAGCTGTAATCTGAACATCCCTGTGCCTGAGAGGTCAGAGGTCAACAAAACACTCCACATGATGCTCCCACTCCTCCCTCCAGGCATGGTGTAACCATCCAATCAGAAACCAGAGGGTTAAAGGGTCAACTGTGAGGTTCATTTCAGCGAGGACTCTACGAGATGTTTCTTCTTCTGCTATCTAAAACTGGTCCAACTGCAGCGTGAAGAAACCAAAATAAACTGATTTTAATCTGAGTTCATGACAACAAACGGGCTGAAAACAGATTCAATCCTGATGCTGTTCGGACACAAGTACAAATTCAGGATTTGTCTGGACTATCTGCAGAAACATGCAGAATTCTGTTAAAATGCTCTTTTTTTAAATGGAGTTTGGTTAGGTCACAGAAATCTTAACACTATTAGCCTGTATTGAAACTCGGTGTGTTTTGCAGTTGGGTAGAAAAATATATAAAAATCTAAAACTGAAATAATTTTGAGTAAATTGGTTCCAAAAAAACTTTAGACCTGATGTTTAAGTGCTGCACAAAGATTTAATACATGATCAGACATTAATTACTGATAACAAACATAATACAAAGATGCTGAAATAACGAAGTCATGATGCACTTTGGTAAAAAGTGGAAATTCAGGATTTCTCAGGTTTTTTGCAGAATGGAAAGCAAATTACTTCAAAATGCTTATTTTTTTAAATGGGATTTGGTTTGATCCAAGTTAAAGACTTTAAGAAAGCCAAACTCCTGTCTGCTTTAATTTAAGATGTGTTGTAGTTTTGAACAAAGGTC